TAGATCTTTAATTACCGAAGCATCACAGGGGATCTACATGTTTTTTTTATCTTCGGTTGAATTATGAAAGGCACGATCACATCCGATTCCTCTAAACTAGGTCGTTTGTCGGCGCGGTTATCTTATGAGCCGGCCTCAACCTCGGCAGGGCGCTTCTCTGCCCTTTGTTCAGCCTCTTGATCGGCCTGCACAACCAACTCGGCCTCGGCACTTCATTTTTCTGCTGTTCCCTCCTTAATAACAGGCAAGGAGGGCTGAGATTCGTTAACAGGCAGGGAGGGCTGAGATTCGGTGGCAGGAGGCACTCCAGCTTGAATGGTCTCTGCCCTTCGCCATGCCGCCATCCTTTCCGCGTTCGCCTTCTTGGCATGTTGTGTGAGGCTTAACCCAGCCATATCTTCGGGGTACGCGCCGGGAAGGTCCTTTAGACCATGAAAAATATCATCAAGTGGAAGGTCCTCTCGGCCCGAAGTGGACGGAGGGTCAGCTGAGTTGAGACCGACTTCCTCAAAGGCTAAAGCATAAATACTTACATCGTACTCCGTGCCAAAACAGTAAACTAGTTAGCAAAACGTGCGTGTCCTAGTTCATGTTAAATTGCCTAATGCAACACATACAGGATGCAATTTAGATAGGCTCAGTTAACCTAAGCATGGCATATGTAATGCGATCAATTATCACATATTCGATTTGTAAATTGAAGTACAAATGCAGTTAGCATGATGTACCGAGCCTAATGCATGCAGTACAAATGCATGAATGCACGCATGCATAGCATAAGGTATGCCAAATTAAACATGCCCTAATCTACCATCATAAGCAGGTAAATAAAAGGGAAGAAAGACGTGAGGTTGGAAGACATACACACGCTCACGCACCCTTATTACATAATTGCCCTCACTCGGAGGGTACAAATAAATATTACAGTCCCAAATGATAAGCAAATAAAATTATTACAGAATTTCTAATTAATTAAAAGAAAGGATGCAAAAGAAAGAAGAGGGTGGCCGCAGCCTCTGCCTCGGGATGCGCAGATGATGCATGCTCGGAACTTGGCTCGCCCGAAAAACCCGTACCGTACCCCTGCCACCTCTGTTTGTACTGCCTTGTCTCTCTGAAAATTGCCCAAGTCCTGGAGCAGGTTCCTTACATGCTGCAGAGCACCACCGGCCAGACAGAATTCCCAATTGGAAGTTTTGGGTCGTCCCTTCTTTTTGTGCTCCGGGGATAATGAGTCGGAGTCACTATCAGTGTCTTGTTGTGGGGCTCGAGGTCGTCGACCACCTGTCCTCAGAGGTTGTTCCGGCTCTTGGCGCACGGCATGTTTGGACTTTGCCACTTCCAAGGCCAAATCCTGACGGAGACGTTCGTTCTCAGCG